GGGAAACCGACCTGAAGAAGACGGCCAGAGACAGGAGGTGGAGTGCGTGGAAATTAACGACAGCACTCGTGTGGTTGACCAGATCACCACTGTATGAGCATGGGATGAGGGGCTCTCGGTTGCCCTGGTGACTGCCGGCTGGGAATTGGTTCAATATAATCTGAGCAGCCGCTATTCGGGCTGAAGAGAAGAATGCCAGTACGTGTAAAACGAGGAGGAAAAAGAGAGTGTCACTAAGAAAAAAAATAGAGGTGGAGGGTCTAGAGGGAACAGTAAAGGAGAGTCTAGTGGCGAGTGAAACAAAGAGAAATATGAGGGTCAAATGCAGTGTATCCATGGTTACCTGCTTGTTTCTAGTGCTGCGTGGCATATTAATGAGCTCTTTTCCAAACAGCCAAGATGTTGAGGATCAGCTGAGGTCAGGTCTGGCTGTGACGTTATCCCAGAGGAGCAGCCACAATTTTCACGTGTCCAAAAGTTGCTTTAGATCTGATCACACTGTTTGGCTACTGCTATCTGTGTTCACCATATCAGTTACATACAGCTACAATGATATGAGGCAATCATCTGTATGACTCGAGTATTTCTACTTTAATGCTGGACAAATAAAGTCAAATCAAGAAAACAAGTGGTTTTGACTTTGATGCATGATAAAGTTTTAATGTAGTTTATATGGCTTTTAAAACCTTGGTCCACAAACCAATAGACGTCACAGTTTTATACATATAGTGATGCTTTGACTTTTCCGAATGTTCTATCTTTAAGGTAAAAGTGCTTAGGCAAAGTTAAAACTTAAGGGTACAACCACTTTGAAACACAGTATGACATTGGTGGTTATGGATCAAGTTTTCTTTGTGCAATGGGCAAACAAAATATTGAATTTATTTTCATTAGTTTGAAAATGTCATAATGTTCATCATAAGCCACAATTATTGCTGTAACAAGTCAACTAGTTTTCTAAGTCTGTCAAGGCTTGAAAGCGAAGCAGTTAGGACCCACAGTTACTTTGAAGGAAAAGTCCTTTATTGTCTGTTTGTGAATTAACAGAGCTGGGCAAAACAAGGCCAAAAAAACTCTCTCAACATAAACATCCAACATCAAGAATCTGACAACAACTGAAAGAAAACCAAAACTTAAATACAAGCAAGACACAGATGGGGAGGGAAGAGAAACACAGGGTCACCACGTGAACACTATCAGGTTATCAAACAGGACGGAAACACAGAGACAGAAAGTAACAACAGACATAACACGGGTTAACACTTTTCAAAATAAAACAGGAAAACAAAGACAGATCTTGACATCAAAAAATAACACAAGGAAAACTCATACAGATCGTGAAAAAGTCTGATCAAAAATGGTTTGTCTGTGTTTAATGACATCCCTTGATGATTTAAGTTCCTGTTTTTAACATGGGGGAAAAACAACTTTTTTTACCAGGTGAAACTGTTTTAACAATGTTTTTGCTGCAATTGTTGTTCCGGCCACAAGAGTGCAACAATACCCTATTAAGAAAGACAGCTGTCTGGATGTGGGTATGTCCTTCACTCTTTGTCAGTGTTTCGCAGGAAGTCGATGACGTGCAGTGTCGAATATGCAACTTGGACACAGGACACTTTTAAAATTAATAATGAAGCGGCCAACAAACTATGCAGCAACGTGGTGCTTCAGGGCTCTGCTGACCTTGAGTTCTTGAGAAGATTCAAGAGCACTTTAAGTGACTTACAGTAAGGAAAGGAAAGAATACTGTTATTATAACATTTGTAAATCCAGCATCTATTAGTGAAAGTAAATTGCAGTCAATAAGCCATAACATGTAAAAGCCTGCAGAGGAAAAAATGGTTGACTTTTTAGAACCCTTGAACCAGCCCCTACGTCTAGTGTACAAATGGCCGCATGCTTAACACTGCATGTCATTGGTTCCTCCAAAGGTACACCCCTGCCAGATGTAAAGTTGAACGGATGAACGGTTTAAATATGCTTAGAACATACAAACATTACTTGTATTATCGTTAGATTGGTAAGTGGTGCTTTCCTGTGGCCAAATGAGTATGACAACAATAAACACAGCAATATGGGTGTTTGTTCCAGATGTTAATGTTTAGTATACTTTGATTACCAGATTAGCATATTCTCCTTCTTCTCTTGGGCCACATGTTTAGTACTAGTGTGGGTCTGCCATTTCCCCCCTAGCCTGAGCAGGTTCATTCATACCAGCCCTTATAGAAACAGACAAGTAAAATGTTTAACCCTAAGTGAATGAAATCTCTTTTTTTCAGGTAAAACAGTTCAACAGATACTGCTTTTGCTATATCCTGTAGGCCATATCATCATGATTTTAGTTAATTTTAAGACGTAAAATACAATTTTACCGTTATTTGCTCACTTTGGTGTGATGAAAACACCATATTACAAAATAAATAACTGGAAAACTGCATGCTTTTGAACCAATACTGTTGCAAAAAATCTAGTTACATATAAAAGCTTGATTCATTCACTTAGAACTTTTTGTGATGAATAATATGGTCTGAGAGCAGTTTCTTTCATCAGGAAGTGACGTTGGCAAATAAACTACTGTTTTTCCTTCTGTGCTATCTCTATAATATAGAGATAAAACGGAAGGAAAAACAGTAGTTTAGTTAAAGTCTATATCGTTTTGAATTTATGTATGTTCTCTTTCAACCTCCTGCATTTCTCCTCTCAAAGGAAAACAAGTTTCCTTTTACTCTTCTCTTCCTGCAATCATCTTGAAGGTCTCTGTGTGGGAGTGCTTCCTATTGTTGATCCATGCTTTTCTGACACTTGCCTGAATGGAACTATTCTTCAGGATTTGTGCAGGCACTACAACCATCAGTGTTACAACGGCAAGATCACTCGTCATCTTCCCACCCATTAGCACGGCCAATTGGCTTTCTTAAGAGCATATGCACGACCTCTAAGCGAAATGAACTACTAACTGATACGTCATCTTTTGTAGAACATGGTAGTTACGAAATAACATGGCTGAATACAGTTATTTCTAAATATATATTCCACACACAAAGGGTATCGCTCTGGTGCATGTTCTATTCAATTCATATCTGAATCTGTGAAGTTACCCTACTGGATCTAATTATTTCAAAACACATGCTGCACTAGAAAGTTTATTTAACTAATTAATCTGAATAATAAATAAAAAACATGTTTAATAATTCTGCAGGTATTTTGACAGGAACTACTATTGGGCTCATCAGATAAACATTTGTTGATGCCATTGGTAATGCCACTCATTTTCCTTTCCATTTTTTCACCTTTTCAATCAGTTATAGTTTCTGACATAATTGGATCAAAATGTAATCATGTACAGTTGCATTCATACTTTTCCTTTTCATCCTTAAAAGAAACATTGTTCTTTAAACGTATCAAATGTCTTCACAAAAAAGGCTGTGAAGGCCGATAGTTCCTGGACAAAAAGTAAGTGAGAAGAATATTTTTTGATTAAAACTTGAATTTAGTCTCTGGTTGACATGCATGTAAAAGTATTCGCACTGAAGTCGAAATTGACTATAAAACTGAGAAGTACTATTGTTTATTTACTTTACCATAACCTCTCAAGGTGACCTTAACCTTGGGACTGGAAAGAAGAGGGAATATAACATCACTTATACATATTCAAAACTCTTTAATATACCTTTATCCTTGGGACTGGAAAGAAGAGGGAATATAACATCACATATACTGTACATATTCAAAACTCTTTAATATACTTGGGACAAGACAGTCCAGATGCTCTTAGTCAACAAAAGTTTTCCCTTTGAATTTTGATTCACTTGATCTTGAACTAAGGTCCCGCACACACATACCCACACAAACACTGACAACTAACTGACCTTAAAAATGCTGTGTCACTGAAGAAGAACAGTAGCGTGCTGCAGTTCTGCTCTGCTCCACTGATCTGAGAACGTTTTTGTTACCTCTTAGAAAAATGTACAAAGGCTGACACTTGATCTGTAGTGAAAAGACATGCATACAGTTATCATCTGGATGCTTCTACCCCCCCAGAGACACACACACACACACACACATATATATACACACACGCACACACACATTATAGACAAGTAAAGACACACTGAGATTTCTAGATCCGGTTTGCCCTGAGGCTGCTCTTGTCTTTTATTAGTCTAGTCTCTTTTGATTCATTATAAAGCTGACGTCAGATGCCATTCTTCACATTCACAGCCACACCGTCAGTGTGTGTGTGTGAATCTGTGTATGAGAATGTGTGTGTGAGCGAGAGGGAAGATGTTTAACCAGTTAATCAACATGATTCCAACATATTATATTTGAGCCTATACTGTATGCTGCAACATGCAAACCCTTCTACAGTATGGACACACACACACACACACACACACACACACACACACACACACACACACACACACACACACACACACACACACCAGATAAAAGCTAATACCCTGTCCAGGAACTGTCTGGACCTGCATCCTGTAAGACCAGCTGCTGCCCTCTAGTCATACTGAGAAAGAAAAAAAGACAAAGATAAAAGAAAGATAGATAGATAGATATAGTGGACAGATACATATATAGCCCTACAGTAGATAGATAGATAGATATAGTGGACAGATACATCTATAGCCCTACAGTAGATATATATATAGTGGACAGATACATCTATAGCCCTACAGTAGATAGATAGATAGATAGATAGATATAGTGGACAGATACATCTATAGCCCTACAGTAGATAGATAGTTTTGTTTATCATTTCTATTTGTCTATTCCCTCTTACTTTTTCACCTCTGTAGGGGTATATTATTATTTGGTCTACTCTACTCCCTTTTCACATTTCAAAATGAGAAATGATTTCCTGAACACACCTCGCACACACCCACTTTCTCTCATACACAAGCACACACACATAAACACCTGATGCTACAGACGATGCTCTTGTGTAAGAGACAGAGGCGATATGAGGGAGAGCAACTGAGGACAGATAAGAGAAGAGAAGAAGAGGAGGCAACAGAAGGGAAGAAGAGAGGAGAAAACACAGAGAGAAGTTCTAAAATATTCTTTAACGGTGGGAGTTTTGGATGGATGAATGATCTCACAGGAATCATGGAGAGACATGTGCAAGTGTACATACTTTCACGCAAGTAAACCCACATACTTTTAAAAGCACCAGGTAAGCAATTTAAAGACAAATTGTTACTGTAATATTCTACAATTTATTTGCTGTTGATTTTAGATATGAGGTTTTATATTTCAAAATAGATGTAACAGTAAAGAAAGGTTTCAAGCAACTCTTTGTGTTGTTTTACTGTTTAAGTTCAAATATAGAAAGTCAGACAGTTGGATTTTGAGGTTAGAAATGGCAATAACTTCAAAGCTTCTCTGTTGTCTTGTTGTCTTTACATGTATCTGTTTCCTCTTTCAGACGCACAGAACATATGATAATAATAATAATAATAATCCTTATATTTATTATAGCGCTTTACAAATACACATTACACATACAGATCATACATGTAATGGTCATCTACTGTGGACAATACCCACAGGAGCAAATTCGGGTGAAGTGTCTTGCCCAAGCACACAACGGCCTGACGCAGTGGGGCGGGAGCGGGTTTCGAACTGGAGTTCCCCAACGCCCCCTTGATCTGATGATCAAACGCACAGACCACTGCTTGGTCACCTCCTAACCGATAACACAAGTATAGTTTCACATATATGATCAGCCATATTTAGCTTATCTTAAACAGCACTGTAGCCACACAAATACACTTTTTTTGACCAAGAAATAACCCAAAGAATGGAAATGTGTTTCACATGGGTGAAAGTTAACAATTTGTGTTAAATGTATTTGTCACTAAGCTTTAACCTCTTAATTTGAATGCATCCCTTATTGAAAGTTTTAGATAAATGTAGATCAATCTTTGAACAAACAATGAAACACTTTAGTCGAGTGAAGCATGATATCAAGATAAAATCACAAAAATAAATCATTGGATTGTGTCAGTGCAAATCATCAAACTCAATGACATCCATGCTGCATACTTTAGCTGGAAAACCCTGTATGTCGACATGAGGTTCTGTGTTATTGCAGCTACTCCCTGTATTACAGTTCCATCAAAAACATTCAACATTGACGTGTATCAAAGTGCGTGTGCACACATTTATTAATGTGAAGGTTAAAAATAGAAATTCCAGGGGAAAAAAAACATCAAACACAATCCTCACAGATCCAAATACTTTTACATCTAAAGGGAGAAATGTTTACGCAAAATGTTTACAATTGCTTAGATCCACTTTTGTACAGAAGAGAATGGAAGACTGCCAAATGTGCCTTACAACAATTTGACACTAAACTAATTACATTTTTATTTTTGAAAAATCGAAAATGTTCTTCACTTTCTGTGAAGACAAGACAATATTTAGATACCACAGTTCATGTGAAAAACTGATGTGCTATAACATACTATAAAACAGCCTACAGCATTAAAGTAACATGCACAAAATATCTATGTATTACAAAGTGCAAATAGAAGCAAAAGAAAAAAGAAATCCAAAAAATAATTATGAGTTGTACTTAGTAATTTATGTTTTTATGTAGTAATCATTAGATACAAAGTAAAAAAAATCACTTCTTAAGTCAAAGTGTAATTCTTAATCAAGGATTATCTGTAATGAAAAAAATCAACAAGTATTATCTCTGTAGTTCCGCTCAGCTTTAATATTGTTGGCGTCTTTAAGCTAATTGCTTTGTTTTTCCAGCAAACCAATATCAAGTGTTTTGATATCTTTCCAGCACTAAACATGCAACAGAGAAAGTATGATTCTAGCTGGTGAACATGTTGGAGCTAAAAAGCCAGATATATTCTTTAGGAGTCACTAACAGAGTCGAAATGAGAGTGTATATTGGACATTTGCCTAGCGTACAGAAACACAAATGTTAATGATTCTTGATGTTTGCATTAGAACATTTGTATTGACAAGTTCTTCACATCAACCTTGCAAATTATGAATCTGAAAAACATAATAATAATTCAATTAAAGGTGCTATACTAATTAATAATTGTATATTGGAACGTATACAAAAATGTCAGTATGTTGCTCCTTTGAATTTGGAAATTTGAGCCATTATTTTGCAAAGTAGGCCAATGTAGTGGGATACTGTACTATCTACATTTTACAAGCATACAAGTGAGAAGTGCAACACCACATGCAAACAAAAAAACTGTGATTTATGAAGGACTGAGTATGTAACCTCAGGTAAGGTTACATCTATGTGAGATGTAACCTTATCTACTGTGTCCACCCATGCCCTGCAGTCAATCTGTGAAAGTAGACAAAGCCACTGATAATAATAGATTGCTTTAGTTTACCAGTGGTAAAGGAGAATTTAGGGGTAATCCCATGATTTAAACAATAATACACTGTGCTCATCATATCCAGATCTAGAAACTGGGACTGCACGAAAGGGAAGTGGAATACAGAAATAATGAAAGTTTTAACGAATTCAATTTGAATATTTGGGATACCCATGAATGAATCATCAGAGGGATGTGACACAAAAAAACAACACAAAGGCAAATAGACCCAACATAAAACCTTTTTTTAATGAAACATTTATAATTTACTGTGAATTTACGTAACTTAATGTTTCCAGGACGATGCATGGCCTTTGCTTTGAAGGACGGTGGGGATGGACACATGTCCTTTTTGTCATCTGGCTTTCACTGCTAGCAGCTGGTCCAACCAAAGGTATATTCATACATAAAGAGGAAATATAGAGGAACTTTTCATAATGATTTAAATGTATGGAAATAGTATTTATTTGCACTAAAGAAGCTTTTAACTTGAAATAACACACTTAGGGACATATTTTTACAGTTAAAAAGTGGTATCTTTAGTCAGCTTGCTGCCTTGTCCACTTGACTACACTGTTAGATTGTATATATTCTTATTTGTTTGTCTTAGTTAAGTAGGCCTTATAGTTTAATGTCTTGTTCCATAACAATAGATCATATTTGTTAAGTGTTATTATGGGAGAGTTACTATTCTTGTGGTACTGCTGCCTTATTAGGCCCATATTGAGCAGAGCATATTAAGACCAAAACTCATGTACAACAACTTCCTTACTTGCAATAAATAAGCACTAATTAGAGGGTTATTGAGGAAACACTCTCAACTAATGGCTTTTTACTTGTAGAATATGGTCATGTAGAATAAGGCATTCATAAGTGTTTTATAATGACTAATAAAGAGCCAATATACTGCTAATATGTATGTTAATTAACAACTAGTTGATGGTTAATTTGTGTACCTTAATATAAAGTGTTTCCAAAACTTTAATACCTCTTATATATGCACAGCTTTCCACTTCCAGTATTGGTACCAATACTGCAAATATCTTTATTTGAACGGGTATATCTATAGTTCATCTATATTTCATGTAAACATTGCTATATTTTAATGTTATAATAGTTTTCCTAAAATCGTTTTTTTATAATTGTTTTACTTATTTATTGGTCCTTTTCTTACAATGTACCTTCTTTGACTGTGTTTATGTATGCACCATATACAAGGCAAATTCCTCAGATGTGTTAACCAACAAGTTTCTGATACTGATTCTGATTAATCTGCATTTCTTTCACCCATTTTCACCCATTTTCAGCATTTGGCTATTTCCTGGGGGACACAAAGGCAGTGTTAAATGGCTGTAAGGACCACTGGACCCTGCAGGACAGGGCCGCCATGCCGTTGCTCTTTCAGATGACTTTGTGTGTGGACATCCGCGTGGTTGTCCCCGGAGCCTGGGTGGCCTTCTCTTACAGCTCGGTCTATGCACCCAGACCTGAGCTGGGTCTGGAGGGGGATGAAGATGCACTGTATGCATGGTTGCTAAGGGTCCGACACCGATTTCCCATCCGGCTGTCCCCAAAACACTGGCATAGAGTATGTCTGAGGAGAGACGTACAACACAACTCATTTAGCCTGGAGGTAACACTACAAAATATAGAGAGCTAGTATGTTAACTGGTGGATAAAGTATTCTGATGCTTAATTTCAGCAAAAAATAACAATATCACATTTAGAAAAAATTCCATTATAAGTAAAAGTCCTAAATTGATAAAGTTACTGAGGTCGAAGTTGTACTGAATAATTACTGATGGATTAATGTGTAAATATAGAAAAAGTGTAGTGTAGTAGACATGGAAGTAAAAGTATGTGTAGTTTTTACCTAAGTAAAGCACTTCAGTAGTTAATTTTTACTAATTTATTGTTTAGACAACTCAATACATTTATCGTGAACAAATACCATATCATGTGGGTGAGGTTTTGAATGAAAGACAAAACAATGCCCTGAACAATAAACAGTATTACAGGCACGATTCAGTGTGATAAGCTGCACATATAGCTTGCAAAGCTAATTGCAATGACTCAAAGAATAACTACAGTTTTTTAACAAGGTTGGTCCTATTTTTTAGTTAAACATAATTTATCGGTAATGTTTAAATTATAGACCTTATAAAACACACGTTTTGAACAAAAAGTATAGTGAAATTATCCAAACAGCTTAATAAAGAGTTGAAATGGTATTAATTGTATTTTATCAGTTTAACTAACCTGAGTTTGTAATTAAAACTAGTATTAAAACAGGAGTAGTGGTACTGTAACAGGAGTGCAACATGTTTCTCGCTCTGGAATGATGGCTAAAACTACAAAATGAAGATCCATGTTGTGAAAACCAGAATTATCCTATTAATGACCAAGAACACATTTGGGGCAGCTTGAGCCAAGCAATTAAGAGATTCAAATATTTAAACTGTCTCTATTTGCGAATAAAGCAAAACATGCTGCGTAAATGTTTCAGGTTGATGGGAAAATGGTGGCACAGAGGACAGTCATCGCTCAGGCCATCCCCCCTGCCGGCTCCATGTGGCTGGGCTGCCGTCCCAGAGATCAGCCCCCAGGAGACACGCTGGGGGAAGTGGAGTTGTACCTGTTCCGCATGTGGGGAGACCTGGGTAACCATGGTCTCTGTGAAGACGGGTCTGTGATTGGCTGGAACACTCACTACTGGGGTGTGACCAGTCCCAGAGCCAGACAGAGAGACCCCAACCTTCTGTGTGGTGAGACTAATTGCATTCATAACAAGATACAGCTTTATCTCTTCTATCCTGTCATTATGCAATTAATGATGCATAAATGTAGAATACTAACTAAACATAGTAAAGCATGATTGCAATTTGTCATAGAAAAGCCCTTAAGCATGTATCATATCCGGTATTACTGTAGCGTTCTCTTCTTCAAAATTCCGATTTGAACCAACCAAAGTGCATGCAGAACATTAATCTTAATAGTATATGTCTAATAAAATATAAATGTTTAAAAAAAATCTTAATAGTATTTAATCCGTGTATCTACTGTCCAATTGTTTTTCTTTATTAAACAAGTAAACGGAAGAGCGTCTGAGAGGCGTTTTTGCTTTTTGCTTTTTAGCTTACTAAGTAAACAACACAAACACGCCCACAGTCCGTCTCCGCATGTGACACAGGAAGTATTTAAGTACATTTACTCAAGTACTGTACTTAAGTACAGTTCTCATCTCTGTTCGCCTGGCTGTTGACTATATAAAAAACTAACGGAGTAACGCACCATGTAGTAACGGTAACTGAGTTACTGAATTTAAAAAGTAATGCGTTAGAGTACTAGTTACTGCCAAAAATAACGGCGTTACAGTAACGCGTTACTTTGTAACGCGTTAGTCCCAACACTGATTATTTCTCTGCCGCTAGTTCATTCCTCGCAGATTCTTCATTCTCATCAGCCTCATCTTTCCATCAGTCCCAATCAACGCATCAGCCTCCAGCACACTTCCAGTGTCTGACTCCATATGATATTGTCCTGATGCTGTAAGGGTGATGCCCCATGATCCCAACATGACCCCTCTAAAGTCTGAGTGCCAAGGACCTCATATTATGTCTGTCATTAATGTTACATCACCCATTATAACAATTTTCTTTCAATTTTTTCTCTTCTCTTAACTGAATAGTACTGTCTTTAAGTATATAATACAATGTAAAGTCCTTTTCCTGCACCATTTTAAGGCTTCAAAACAGGCATTTTCACTGTATGTGTTTGGAGAAATAACACAATCAATGGCCCAGAATTGTACTTTATAAACTCTGGATCTTGTGGTGCTTGAAGAAATATAGACTGGCTATGCCGGCCAGGTTATATATGCCTTTTTTGGAGCCCTTTTTGTCAATATTTATTAAAATGTCACTAGTTATTTAAACAAACCACTATCTGAGGATAATACAAGCAACCATAAAACGCCCTTTATCTAGAGAGCAATTGAAGCCCATGAAGAATGTATCCTTCCACAAATCTTTTCATCTGCTGTATTAATAAAGTTGCCACGTGTTTTCAAATTCAAGTTAAGGCACTATCTGTGCAGAACATTACAAATATTCTTCATTTGCAGTATTTTATTTTAAAAGTGTTCAGAAAGACTGCATCAATGATATGCTATATATCTATATAATATCAATATTGTTAACTTTAACCAAAGTCAATTTAAATAGTGGGCAAAAATGGGTTAATTGCCCATTGGTGTTTGATATAGTTTATGTTGAATTTCAACTACTTTAGGCAGAAAAATGTATATTGACTAAAACGTTTTTTACAATTTACTATAATTTAGAAAGGTTTTCGTGAGAAATCATTTCAGAGTAAACTTTCTTTTCATTTTATATTTAAATTCAAAATGTTGGCACACAACATTATTAATGTATACATTTTTATTATTTAAAAAAAATTATGAATCCATTTATTGTGTTTCCTTGTGGCTGGGGAAGATATCCAGCAGTTCAACATGCAAATGTTCTATTACAAGTAAGTATAAGTATAACATGGAGAAGGAAATAAAAATACGTTCCACGACTGATGGAAGAATCTGCGAGGAATGAACTAGGAGTAGAGAAATAGTCCTTAAAAGACAGCATTGTCATAAGAGGCCAACAAGAGTCAGGGTGTGTCACTTTGCTGAAGGCCAGTCTCTAAAGACTTTCCAAGGTGTAAAAATGCTGCTGCCAGAGTACTGACTGGAAGTATTTCTGATAATATGGACCACCATATCCTCTTAAAATACTCTGTCCAACAATATCATGAAGAAAGGTTTTTTTTTTAACGCTTATTCAAAATAGCAGAGAAACATGCATTCTTGTACTCAGGAGGGGACATTGACAGAGGATTGTTGGAAAAGTACACAGTAAGTAATTCATAGTACTTCTGGGGGTAGTTTCACTAGTACTGAGTCCAACAGGATCAATCTCACGAAGAACTAATGGTAACAAAAAAGAATTCCCTCATCAAACTTAGCAGAAGTGGCTTTTGTTCTCAGCAGGGGACTTTGACAGAGTATTCCTCAAACAATACATAGTAAAAGTACTTAAATGTATTGTTAGTAGTAGGCTAACTAATACAAAGTCAAACAGTATCAATTTCATTAAGAACTAATGGTAACATTATATTTTTATCATTCATCAAAGATAGCAGAAAAACATGCATTATGTAGCCTACTAAGGAGGGGACTCTGACAGGGGATTACTCACAAAGTACACAGCAAAAGTACTTCATTTTATTTCTGGTAGAAGTCAAACTAGAACCGAGTCCAACAGTGTCAGTTTCCATAAGAACTTGTGGTAAAACCATAGTAAAACATATTTGTATCACTCGTCAAATATAGCAGGAATGAAGAGAGCAGCTGATTTGAAAAAACTCGAGAGGCGGCGGAGTTGACCGCAGTGCAGAATCGCTGTAACCTATAGTTTAAATCTCCTAACAACGTTGTCCATTTTAGACAGAGGCTTATTATATTTACAGCCCTTAATAACATCCATTTTCTGGGCTCAATATGTGTCTTGGCCGTTTTCGTTGTGATCGCTAAATTCACTTTGTTTTCCTTTGTTTATAATATTATCACTGGAAACTGGAAGACTGGAACACGGATATGCAACGTAAAGACACGTCCGTCTTCAAGTCCTTCAGTAGGATTTGTGATCTGCACGGCTTCAGCCAGCTAATCACCCAACCCACCCGGGTATGTGAAACAACACAAACTACCATTGATCTCATTCTGACCTCTGACAAGTCCAGGATCTCCAGTAAAGGGGTTATAGCATGCGGGTTAAGTGATCATTATATGATATTCTGTACCCGCAAAAAGCTAAAACAAAGGGCCGGCTGTCACAAAACAGTCATATCTAGAGACCTCAAAAACTACTCTAGCGAGGCCTTTAACCTAGAACTGGAGAGCCTGGACTGGTCAGATGAGCTCAGTGGTACACAAGTTGAAGAAACATGGCTTGGTTTCAAAAACAAATTCTCTGCAATACTCAATGATTTGGCCCCCCCCAAGAACAACCAGGGTAAAAAATCGCGATGAGCCGTGGATGCACTCCGGCATACTGACCGCCATGAAAACCAGAGACAAAAAATGCTCTGAGTTTCATAAAAGTCAGTCAATGCTTTCCAAAAGCACGAGCAGTGAACTCCAGGCCCACGTGACTGAACTCAAAATTGAAAGAAACAGACTAAGAAATGACGTAAGCTCCATGATCAAAACTGCCAAAAAGAATTTCATCAATGTCAAAACTGAGGAAAACAAAAATAAACCCTGTGAACTTTGGAAATTACTCAATAACCAGCTTGGCTGCAGTAAAAAACTCAAAACGAGATTTTCTAACTTAAACATAAAGACAGATAACAGGCTCATCACAGACAAACTGGATGTGGCCAAGTACTTGAACATTTTTTTCACAAACATAGCCACAACTCTTGTAAATAAATTACCCTCCCACTCAGGGCTTTTTGGAGTAGATCACATCATGACCTACTACAAAAACCTAGGGGTACGCAAAGATGATTTCAGTCTAGCAAGGGTAACAACAGCAGAGGTACTCATTAAACTGAGCGCCCTCCAACCTAACAAGGCCACTGGCCACGACAATATCCCCTCCAAATTCCTCAGAGACACAGCAACCGCCATCTCACCAGTCATAGCTCACATAATTAACCTCTCCATAAAACAGGGAAAAGTACCCAAAGACTTCAAAATTGCAAGAGTAACCCCCCTGCACAAAAAGGGCAGCAAATTGGACCCAGGCAACTACCGCCCTGTTTCTATACTTACCTCCATCTCGAAAGTCATGGAAAAAATAGTATATGAACAGGTCGAAAAGTACCTCGCGGAAATAAACTAATCTATGAATTTCAATCTGGCTTTAGAACATCCCACTCCACTGACACATGCCTTCTTTATTTGAGCGACCACATCAAACAAGAGGTGGACGAGGGCAAGTACTGCAGCATGGTGATGCTGGACCTACAAAAGGCTTTCGACACTGTCAATCACCCCATTCTGATTGACAAGCTAAAAGCAATTGGTTTTGATAAAACTATCGGTGAGCTGGATGCAATCCTACCTGGAGGGGAGAGAACAGATGGTGGAGGTAAACGGTACTCTGTCCCCCCCCCCTCCCAGTGAGCTGTGGTGTTCCACAAGGAAGCATATTAGGTCCGTTACTGTTCCTAATTTATGTAAATGACATGTCATCAGCATGTGACTGCAACTTGTTCCTGTTCGCGGACGACTCAGCCCTGCTGGTCTCTGACAGGAACGGGTTGCAGGTTGAAAAAACCCTCAGCTCCGAGCTCGGCAGAATCTGCACCTGGCTCGCCAATAATAAATTATCAATACACCTGGGTAAAACAGAGTCCATTCTCTTCGGTTCGAAACATAATCTCAGCAAATCCGACGACCTTCTCAGTTGCAGTGGGCGACATTATGTCACAAGTAAGAAGGAAATTACATACCTAGGATCTATTCTTGAGGCAAACCTCTCCTGTGACAAAATGGCATCCAATGTAATAAAAAAAGTCAATCAAAGAACTAGATTCCTATACCGGATCTCCTCTCTGGTAAACAAAACACCCTGAAAACTCTGGCAGGAGCACTCATTCAAGGGTACTATGACTATGCTTGCACGTCATGGTACCATAGCACCCTCCAAGGCGCTAAAAATAAAACTTCAAACATCGCAAAATAAACTGGTCAGACTACTGCTTGACCTTTCATCTAGAACCCACCTCACCTCTGCCCACTTTGACAACCTAGGATGGCTTAGAGTAGACGACAGAGTACAGCTACTTGCAATGGGCCTGGTCTACAAGATCCACTACACCTCTATGGTACCCATGTACATGTCAAAATTCTTCCCAAAGGTCAAGGAATACCATGATCATAACACCAGAGGGAGCTCCACAAATCATGTGAAACCCAGATTTGGCACAAAAAGGGGGAATACACGTTTCGCAATTATGCCACATCAAGGTGGAACGCTCTTCCCACAACTGTAAAGGAAAGTAAAACTATACTTACCTTCAAAACCTCTCTTAAAGAGCACCTTCGGGGGAGAGCATTGCAAAACTGGCCCCGGTAATGGTACAAATCTCAACCTGTCGTTCAATGGACAGCTTCCCCCCCCCCCCATCTATGTATATACTCGCATTTTAGACTCTGTTACTAACTGTATATCTGTAGACTTGGTATGTCTTAAATGTCCGGTTAGGATGTATTAGAACGAAATCTAAAATGAAAATTGTAAACAAGCAATCTGTATGTAAAAAAAAAAACACCTGTATGTAAATTGTAAATAAGCCATCTGTATGTCAAATATGTCTTATATGTCTTAAATGACATGATGAATTGGAAATGGGGGACCCTGATGTAAACAAGACGAAAGTCTTTCTCTGGTCTGCATCCCCTTAACAATTGTATGTTTTGAGCTGTACTGTACTGTACCCAATATACAAGCTGTTAATAAACTTTTCAATCAATCAATCAATCAAACCGCTTTTTGTTTTGAAATCACTTCCGTGAGTTTCGCCCCGCCCCCCGTTGCCACTGACCATTAGCCCATTTAGTAAGGTAAAAAGCAAAAAGGCCTCTCAAAACGCTCTTCCGTTTACGTGTTTAATAAAGAAAACAATTGGATGGTAGATACACGGATTGTATATGTTTATTGGGTGTTTTCCTCTCCAAGACTTGTCCAGTAACAGTAGTTGTGCATGTTTCTAGATCATGTCTTTGTTGAATGTTGCATGTTGTCATGTGTCTTGTAGACCACAGACGGTTAAGGCGTGGGGCACGTGTTTTCAGAAGGTCGTTAAATGGTGTGTATTAATCTGATGTACGCCTGTATATGTACATACATTGAGTATGTATGTGTATGTATGTATGTATGTATGTATGTATGTATGTATGTATGTATGTATGTATGTATGTATGTATGTATTATGTATGTATGTATGTATGTATGTATGTATGTATGTATGTATGTTGTATGTATGTATGTCTGTAGTATGTATGTATGTATGTATGTATGTATGTATGTATGTATGTATGTTGTATGTAATCATGTAATCATTATGAATCATGGTAATCAAGCATTACATTCCCTGCTTCAGCACCAACAACTGGAGTTGGAAGGTTCTCTCACCACCACCTGGTAATTAAGACAATAATATACAATTAAAAATGCCTCTAATTATGTCAATCTACAAGGATATTAACATCCTTCTTCCTTCTTCCTTGTACCTAAAGTGCCTTACCCTACATCTACCTTGAGTCCTGTCATAGCAACGCTGTCTCTCATGGATGCAACCACACTTCTAAGATCACAGGTAAGAAATTATGACTATGTCCAAAAAAAATTTGTATAGGTTAAATCAAGTAACTTAAGTTTAGTGACCATTTTACAATGGTTTTCTGAAAGATGTTGCGCTCTTCTTTTATAACAACTCATTTTGTAGTTTTGGCCATCTTTTTTAGCCATCATTTCCGACAGTTAACAACATATCATATTGTCAATAAGTAATTTAAAGTAACATAGGTCAATTTGGCCTTTAATTTTGAGGTTTTGACCTTGATTTGTTTCAGATTTTATTAAATTGTAATTTATTTTATTTTGAAATGGGCCTACTTTTTATAGTTTTGTCCTAAATAAGAAAATAATTGAAATAATCATTGAAAAAGGTAATTAATGCAAACTTCAAGACCTGGTGGCTGTCTGTATTTCATTTCTATTTTCAAACACCGTCTGAAAGCACTACAGTCAACAGCTATCAAACCGAGCCTCCGTCAATCACACACCCAGCCAATCACAGCACAGACGCAAAAAACTGACAAGCAAGAAAATGTGTCATTTACACCCACAGATTCACCAACAATAGACTGGACACCATCTCCCGCCACAGTCCTGGCCCTACACTACTGTTCCTGCGTCAGACACACGCTCGGCCAATCAGATGTCAACCAGCACCCAAAAGACTCCAATCACAACTCCGGTTGACCAAACCCCAGCTGGCAGAACATCTGGTTAGTCTGGATGTGTGTTGCATATGTGTATGGGTGTTTAATAAGAGAACACAAGAAGAAGAAATACAACTAAAGCTGGTGTTGTTATGTTTTAATTGTCTTTTAAAAGCAGTTTCCTCTATTATTTTAGGGTCCTCATTAGTAAATTGTGACATCAGCCAACTCTGCTCCAATGACAGTAAGAAACATCCACTTTTTATCCAATTACTCTTTTATTTTGTCATATTTTATGGCCTTACAACTTGATTTATTTTCTGCAGGTGCTTACTTTTGGATGACTATAAATGTGACTGCCAAGAGCATCAGTAAGACTGAACAAGATGTTCACAACTTGGTAAGAGTGACAATCTTTCTTCATCGTCTTTGTTTGGTCAACACTCCTTTGTGTCATGCCGCTAAAAGCTTTAAATGCCAGCTCGTCACAAACAAGTCTTGCCGGCTCGGGATTATTTCTTTTTTTGAGTAGCACATTACAACCCTGTGATGCATCTGAGATTTATTATATTTGGACTGTCAACCATTGAGTGCAGTATAAACCTTGATGATGGGTCTACAATCTTAACTCACTGATCTTTTATTATCTGCTCTTCCCCCTTCATTCAAACTATGGATTATATCCTCTTTCCATGTGTGTACCTTAGTGTTTTTCACTCTGTATGTCAGTACTTTCTTAACCTTAAGTTAATCTCATATGTTATAATGCTTTTGTCACCTATGTGTACGTAGCTAAACTGTATGTATTTGAATCCCATCATTTTGCACAGTATTATCATGTCTGTCTCTCCATCTTTCACTCAGGTGTCAAATGCATTCAGTTGCCGCCACTAATAGAAGTGATACTGCACAGCGGGTAACAGACTTTATAGATTTCTGTCAAGGTGACAAATTCATTCAGGTCAGTCTTTCCCTAAACCAAGCAACACCCTTTCGCTTTCAGAATAAACAAAATGATACATGGCAGACATGATGTCTATAACTTATCTCTCTCTCTTTTCAGACAGTACAGGTAAACTGCAGTGCAAAAAGTAACATAAGGTAACAGCATGTCAGTATGTTTCTGTATTTATTTCCAAATGTTATTTAGTTTTTATCTGATCACAGTGGGGTGTATGCGTTGTTTACAGACAAACAACCTGCGATGTGCTGCTGCAGCTCAGCCGCGCTGTTTCAGCATGTGAACTGCAGCGTGCTGGAGACTCTGCACTGCAGCAAGCTGCTGACACACAAATAGAAGTGAGAATCACAGGAGAGGTGGAGAGAGTCGGTGAGCATTTTTTAATAGCACACACACACACACACCACACCACACACACACACAGACACACACACACACACACACACACACACACACACACACCACACCACACACACACACACACACACACACACACACACACACATTGCCCTGTAAGTATATACATGACAGGTTTCTCCAAATATGCTTTTTTCTTCAATTTGTTTGTGTATCTCAACTGGCAGTGTTTGTTTATGTTTTGGATACTTCATGCTTTTTTACATTTGGATTTTTGGTTGTCCCTTTAAATAACAAACAGACATATAGTATTAGGGGTTAACGCATACATACACATTATTTAGCAAAAATGCAGTCCAGCTTTGATCACAGTCAATACAATGACACTGCAGGAGCTCACATATTATATATGGTGTGTGTGTGTGTGTGTGTATATGCGTGTGCATGCGTGTGCATGATTGTATGTATGTTTGTGTGTCGTAAACTATCTCAAACTAAATCTAAATTTAGAAACAGAAAAACAAATGTGTTGCACTGTTCTTGTGAGGATTCTTATTGACATAATTAATTCCCTCTCCCAAGATGACATTTATAACATCATGCCTTACCCCAATAACACACAATGAATTTCCCACTCACAGTTACTTATCTTCCCCCTTTTAATTGTGTTTCACATCAGGTCGGGGGTATTTGTGGGGATGTGGAGCCCTCGAGTGGCAGGTTGTGAGGTGTACATCCACTTCTTCACTGGATGATATTTGTCAAGCTAACACAAACCCCAAGCTGACATGGTGAGTAAAGTATTCTGAATAAGCTTATTTGAACATGCATACCCAGTTTCTTATTAGTGTTTATTTTCCTAGTTCCTTCTTAGAACCCCAACTCATACCAAGCTCCTACAACCTGATAAAGAATTTGGCTGCAGTGAATATCACAGTATGTAATGCCGACACCCAATATAATGAAGTACATTTCACTTCTGCCACCGCTGCTGTAAACATATTCTCTCAACCTCAGGTGAAGCGCCTAGCTTTTGTGACTGCACTGCTTTCTGCAATTCTTCAAGTAAGAACAACTGTTTGAATATTTTGTACTAAAATCTCTATGTTTTGTGTAAATACTGTACATGTGCCCAAACCCCCAATTATATAGCCTGTAATGTTATAAGTAAGTGTGTCCTTTGAATACATGGATGTTGTAAAAATAACAAACTATAGGTTTATATTCGGAAATGTTCATATTAGCATGAGAAGGTTCACTCACATATTTACACGCTAAATATAAGGCTGTAGCCGGCTGAGCTTAGTAATGTTATAAGTGTCTACTTTGAATATATAGGATTATAAAAAAAGTCTTTGTTAGCACACATACTGAAATCAGGTGGAAAGAGCTAACTTGGCTAAATAGTTTAATTAACAAACAAGATATAGGAAGTTAATTAGTGAAATGTAGTGCTGGTAGGTTTACCATTATTTATTTTTAGATCCATGAAGCTGTTTCCATCTTCTTCCATTCTTTGTGCTAGGCTAACCATATCCTGTCTGTAGCTTATGTAGCTATATCTGTAGGCTGTACGTTATCGTTGTCCTTCTTTCCCAAATTACTGAAATACTCCTTTAATTGAAAGGTAGGGTAGGGTGTAACAAATATGTCCATAAAATGCCCCTGACATCTTCTCCTTTGTTTTTAATTTTCCTCTTTAGGACAGTTTTTTTGCCATTAGAATAAATATTCACAGTGTCTCTGTTAATGTTAACCTCCTAAAAACATGGGTATGTACAGCAAAGTATAATTTACATAACTTCTTATTGAATTTACATGCCTATGTACTGACTTTATTACCGTATTTAACAGTTGGCTGGACTTGCCCGCATGTGTCTGTCAATGTCAGCGTGAGTTTCTATTAATTTTCAATTACAATTTATACATGGAGACCATGGAGAGAAATTATAACAGTTCACCTAAGAGACGTAATGTGACAATTATTTGTTTCCAGGTCAGAGTGCCAAGATATTTTTAGAGCGCTACCAGGTAAAGTTTTCTGCTGCTTGATACTTACTCAAAACCTTATAAAATCACATTGAGGTTGCTGTTAATCATGCTTTCTGAATTATTACTTTATCCAGCATGCTCATCTGGAATGCCACGGGACAGAACAGAGGTAAAGATTACTTGCTGTTGTCAATGATGAATACAGACGGATAAAGACAATCATAACATTTCAATACAGAATGAGGCACCATTGATGTTTTTGAGGATCAATTCCGGGATCTGATGTTAGGAATGTTTTACATCCTTTCTGCTGGTATTAGGTTGTACAGCTGCATGGTGATACTGGAGATGTCTGGACCTGTCAATGGTTGTTTCCTGAAAAAACTTCTGAAGCAAATTATTGACAGAGACAATTATATAACAAATGAAAAGCCACTTACACGCATGGGTTCGTCTACAAGTGTATCTCTTTTTCCTTATTATATATAATATAATATGTTGTTATTATATTAACATCTATTATATGTTATTGACCGTACTCTTTGTGTCCCCAGTGGTTTGTGGTCCTCCTGGTTTGGCAGTCCGTACTCTGTTGGGGTCCAACCTGACCTGGGTTGAAAGTGACCTGCTGATGTCAGACGTCTGCCAACCTGACCCCCACTTCTGCTTAAATGGTAAATCTATCAAATATAGTTCATATACATATATTCATGGTGGCTTTAGAAAATTGAAATTGAAATGTTTTGTTTGTTTTTTGGTTTATAGTTTTTCATTTTGGGTTAACATTATAGTCATTATAGTTGTCCTGTGAAATGTAGGAACTCACAAACAAAGGAAATGCTAGTATGTATAATAATGTAGTCAGCGGTTGGATTACACTGTTCTCAGCATATCTTGTAGGTGTTAGTTGGCAAATCTAGTTGAGAGAAGTATCAATCTCTTCATCCAACTCTGAGAAAGAAAGCCTTATTTCCAAAATGTCAGACTTATTCAATGTTTCTCAATACAATTAGTGGAAAGTGTTTTTTAAAGACAAAATATTAAATATTCTAATAATCTTGACGTTGGCACCTGACAAGGCACTAGCCTATACAATAAAGTTCATTCAATGTATTTATAAAATGTTTTGCAATGTTTTTATTTTTTGTAGTGAGGGAAAGGAGAGCCTTGCTGTACTTCTGACTGACAGCTGCCCTCTGGAAACCATGCAAAGCACAACTATGCCTTCCACTCCAAACAAACACCTTCTCTCTACATCTTCTGAAGCTTTTACATCATCTGTGACCAACCCTACTAAACAAACTAACACTATTGTAACATCTCAACAGACAAATGCCCCACAAGGGACAGCTGATCCTAACATCATTATTTCCCTCACAACAAACAACAGAACACAGTCCTCAACAGAACAGCCCGTCCTAAGAACGACCTTACAAAACATGACTTTCAGTACAGCAGTACAAAACACAACTTTGCCAGATAACACAACACCAACCGACCAAACAAAATTGCCAAACACAACCACAGCAGACCAAGACACAACAGAATTCATACCATTATCTTCTGTTAACTCAACATTACAATTCACCACAGCAGCCCCTATGTTTCAACACTTTACGAAGCTACATTGGCTCCAAATCAAACCACAGAGTTCAAACCAACAACAGTTGATACAGTTACAGCCACTGCTAATAACACAACAGTGTACAATGTAACTTCAACAAGCACATTTACACCTTCTACCAATTACACAACAATGTCCAATGTAACTACATTTACAACTTCTCAACAATCACACAACAAAGTACAATGCCAACTGTAGTTTTAGCCTCTGCCCAATCACACAACAGAGTATAATGTTACAACAGTTACACCTTCTAAAAATCCACACAACAGAGTACAGTGTTACAACAGTTTAAACCTTCTACCAATCACTCAACAGATTACAATGCAACTACAGTTTACTCACTCTTACGATCACACAACAGATTACAATGCAACTACAGTTACTCACTCTTACGATCACACAACAGATTACAATGAAACTATAGTAACACCCTTCTACCAACCACTCAACAGATTACAATGCAATAACAGTTACACCTTCTGACAATCACACAACAGAGAACATTGTGACTACAGTTACTCCTGTTACCAACCACACAGAGAACAATGTGACTACAGTTACTCCTGTTACCAACCACACAACAGAGAACAATGTGACTGCAGTTACTCCTGTTACCAACCACACAGAGAACAATGCGACTACACTTACTCCTGTACCAACCACACAACAGAGAACATTGTGACTACAGTTACTCCTGTTACCAACCACACAGAGAACAATGTGACTACAGTTACTCCTGTTACCAACCACACAGAGAACATTGTGACTACAGTTACTCCTGTTACCAACCACACAACAGAGAACATTGTGACTACAGTTACTTCTGTTACCAACCACACAGAGAACATTGTGACTACAGTTACTCCTGTTACCAACCACACAGAGAACATTGTAACTATAGTAACACCTTCTACCAACCACTCAACAGATTACAATGCAATAACAGTTACACCTTCTGACAATCACACAACAGAGAACATTGTGACTACAGTTACTCCTGTTACCAACCACACAGAGAACAATGTGACTACAGTTACTCCTGTTACCAACCACACAACAGAGAACAATGTGACTGCAGTTACTCCTGTTACCAACCACACAGAGAACAATGCGACTACACTTACTCCTGTACCAACCACACAACAGAGAACATTGTGACTACAGTTACTCCTGTTACCAACCACACAGAGAACAATGTGACTACAGTTACTCCTGTTACCAACCACACAGAGAACATTGTGACTACAGTTACTCCTGTTACCAACCACACAACAGAGAACATTGTGACTACAGTTACTTCTGTTACCAACCACACAGAGAACATTGTGACTACAGTTACTCCTGTTACCAACCACACAGAGAACATTGTGACTACAGTTACTCCTGTTACCAACCACACAGAGAACATTGTGACTACAGTTACTCCTGTTACCAACCACCAGAGAACATTGTGACTACAGTTACTCCTGTTACCAACCACACAGAGAACATTGTGACTACAGTTACTCCTGTTACCAACCACACAGAGAACATTGTGACTACAGTTACTCCTGTTACCAACCACACAGAGAACATTGGGACTACAGTTACTCCTGTTACCAACCACACAGAGAACATTGACTACAGTTACTCCTGTTACCAACCACACAGAGAACAATGTGACTACAGTTACTCCTGTTACCAACCACACAGAGAACATTGTGACTACAGTTACTCCTGTTACCAACCACACAGAGAACAATGTGACTACAGTTACTCCTGTACTAACCACACCAACAGAGAACATTGTGACTACAGTTACTCCTGTTACCAACCACACACAAGAACATTGTGACTACAGTTACTCCTGTTACCAACCACACAGAGAACATTGTGACTACAGTTACTCCTGTTACCAACCACACAGAGAACATTGTGACTACAGTTACTCCTGTTACCAACCACACAGAGAACATTGTGACTACAGTTACTCCTGTTACCAACCACACAGAGAACAATATGACTACAGTTACTCCTGTTACCAACCACACAGAGAACATTGTGACTACAGTTACTCCTGTTACCAACCACACAGAGAACAAGTGACTACAGTTACTCCTGTTACCAAACCACACAGAGAACATTGTGACTACAGTTACTCCTGTTACCAACCACACAGAGAACAATGTGACTACAGTTACTCCTTTTACCAACCACACAGAGAACATTGTGACTACAGTTACTCCTGTTACCAACCACACAGAGAACAATGTGACTACAGTTACTCCTGTTACCAAACCACACAGAGAACATTGTGACTACAGTTACTCCTGTTACCAACCACACAGAGAACAATGTGACTACAGTTACTCCTGTTACTAACCACACAACAGAGAACATTGTGACTACAGTTACTCCTGTTACCAACCACACAACAGAGAACATTGTGACTACAGTTACTCCTGTTACCAACCACACAGAGAACATTGTGACTACAGTTCTCCTGTTACCAACCACACAGAGAACATTGTGACTACAGTTACTCCTGTTACCAACCACACAGAGAACATTGTGACTACAGTTACTCCTGTTACAACCACACAAACAGAGAACATTGTGACTACAGTTACTCCTGTTACCAACCACACAAAAACATTGTGACTACAGTTACTCCTTTTACCAACCACAGAGAACATTGTGACTACAGTTACTCCTGTTACCAACCACACAGAGAACAATGTGACTACAGTTACTCCTGGTACCAACCACACAACAGAGAACAATGTGACTACAGTTACTCCTGTTACCAACCACACAGAGAACATTGTGACTACAGTTACTCCTGTTACCAACCACACAGAGAACATTGTGACTACAGTTACTCCTGTTACCAACCACACAACGAGAACATTGTGACTACAGTTACTCCTGTTACCAACCCAACACAAAACATTGTGACTACAGTTACTCTGTTACCAACCACAAAGAGAACATTGGACTACAGTTACTCCGTTACAACCACACAGAGAACATTGTGACTAAGTTACTCCTGTACCAACCACACAGAGAACATTGTGACTACAGTTACTCCTGTTACAACCACACAACAGAGAACATTGTGACTACAGTTACTCCTGTTACCAACCACACAAAGAAACATTGTGACTACAGTTACTCCTTTTACCAACCACACAGAGAACATTGTGGACTACAGTACTCCTGTTACCAACCACACAGGAGAACAATGTGACTACAGTTAATCCTGGTACCAACCACACAACAGAGAACAATGGACTACAGTTACTCCTGTTACCAACCCACACAGAGAACATTGTGACTACAGTTACTCCTGTTTACCAACCACCACAGAGAACATTGTGACTACAGTTACTCCTGTTACCAACCACAACAGAGAACATTGTGACTTACAGTTACTCCTGTTACCAACCACACAGAGAACAATGTGACTACAGTTACTCCTGTTACCAACCACAACAGAGAACATTGTGCTACAGTTACTCCTGTTACCAACCACATAGAGAACATTGTGACTACAGTTACTCCTGTTACCAACCACACAGAGAACATTGTGACTACAGTTACTCCTGTTACCAACCCACACAGAGAACAATGTGACTACAGTTACTCCTGTTACTAACCACACAACAGAGAACATTGTGACTACAGTTACTCCTGTTACCAACCACACAGAGAACATTGTGACTACAGTTACTCCTGTTACCAACCACACAGAGAACAATGTGACTACAGTTACTCCTGTTACCAACCACACAGAGAACAATGTGACTACAGTTTACTCCTGTTACCAACCACACAACAGAGAACATTGTGACTACAGTTACTGCTGTTACCACCACACAGAGAACATTGTGACTACAGTTACTCCTATTACCAACCACACAGAGAACATTGTGACTACAGTTACTCCTGTTACCAACCACACAGAGAACATTGTGACTACAGCTACTCCTGTTACCAACCACACAGAGAACATTGTGACTACAGTTACTCCTGTTACCAACCACACAGAACATGTGACTACAGTTACTCCTGTTACTAACCACACAGAGACAATGTGACTACAGTTACTCCTGTTACCAACCACACAGAGAACAATGTGACTACAGTTACTCCTGTTACCAACCACACAACAGAGAACATTGTGACTACAGTTACTCCTGTTACCAACCACACAGAGAACATTGTGACTACAGTTACTCCTGTTACCAACCACACAGAGAACATTGTGACTACAGTTACTCCTGTTACCAACCACACAGAGAACATTGTGACTACAGTTACTCCTGTTACCAACCACACAGAGAACAATGTGACTACAGTTACTCCTGTTACCAACCACACAGAGAACATTGTGACTACAGTTACTCCTGTTACCAACCACACAGAGAACAATGTGACTACAGTTACTCCTGTTACCAACCACACAACAGAGAACATTGTGACTACAGTTACTCCTGTTACCAACCACACAGAGAACATTGTGACTACAGTTACTCCTGTTACCAACCACAAGAGAACATTGTGACTACAGTTACTCCTGTTACTAACCACACAGAGAACATTGTGACTACAGTTACTCCTGTTACCAACCACACAGAGAACAATGTGACTACAGTTACTCCTGTTACCAACCACACAGAGAACATTGTGACTACAGTTCCTCCTGTTACCAACCACACAGAGAACATGTGACTTCAGTTACTCCTGTTACCAACCACACAGAGAACAATGTGACTACAGTTACTCCTGTTACCAACCACACAGAGAACAATGTGACTACAGTTACTCCTGTTACCAACCACACAGAGAACATGTGACTACAGTTACTCCTGTTACCACACCACACAACAGAGAACATTGTGACTACAGTTACTCCTGTTACAACCACACAGAGAACATTGTGACTACAGTTACTCCTGTTACCAACCACACAACAGAGAACATTGTGACTACAGTTACTCCTGTTACCAACCACACAGAGAAACATTGTGACTACAGTTACTCCTGTTTACCAACCACACAGAGAACATTGTGACTACAGTTACTCCTGTTACCAACCACACAGAGAACAATGTGACTACAGTTACTCCTGTTACCAACCACACAGAGAACATTGTGACTACAGTTACTCCTGTTACCAACCACACAACAGAGAACATTGTGACTACAGTTACTCCTGTTACCAACCACACAGAGAACATTGTGACTACAGTTACTCCTGTTACCAACCACACAGAGAACAATGTGACTACAGTTACTCCTGTTACCAACCACACAGAGAACAATGTGACTACAGTTACTCCTGTTACCAACCACACAACAGAGAACATTGTGACTACAGTTACTCATTCAACAAACCACACATCAGTGTACAAAGTATCTAAAGTCACTCCTTTGTCCAACCACACAACAGAATACAATGCTACTACATTTATACCTTATACCAACCACTCAACAGATTACAATGCAATTACAGTTACAACTTTTAACAATCACACAAAAGAGTACAATGTAACTACAGTTACTCCTTCTACCACCACACCCACAGAGTACAATGTAACTAGAGTTACTCCATCTACAAACACATAACAGATTACAATGTAACCACAGTTACTCATTCTACAAACCACACAATAGAGAACAATGTAACTACAGTTACTCCTTCTACCAACCACACAACAGAGTACAATGTAACTAGTGTTACTCCTTATATCAACCACACAACAAAGTACAATGCAACTACAGTTACATCTACAATTAACCACAAACAGATTACAATGCAACTACAATTTATACCAATCCTACTACAGAGAACAATGTTACTAGAGTTACACCTTTTAACAATCACACAACAGAGTACAATGTATCTACAATTGGCAGCTACAGAAAAGACAACAGTACATTTACAACAAAGAACACAACATTTAGCACATTCACAGCCTCTCCCAACCACACTGCAGTGAGTAATGTAACTGCAGCTTCCAATAATCACACAACAGTCTCAAACAATTATACAACACAGTATAGCTTAACTACAGCTGATGCCAATTGGGACTTACACAATAGTACATTTACAGCAAAAAACACAACAGTTAGCACATTCACAGCCTCTCCCAACCACACTGTAGTGATTAATGTAACTGCAGCTTCCAACAATCACACAACAGTTTCAAACAATTATACAACACAGTATAACCTAACTACAGCTGATGCCAATTGGGACTTACACAATAGTACATTTACAACAAATAATGCAACAATAAACACATTTACAGCATCTCCCAATTACACAACTGAAAAAAATGTAACTACAGTCTCTAACAATTACACAAAGAATGTAACTACAACGACTGAATCTCAAAACAAAACAGCAACAGACAATGTAACCACTGCATCTATCATTGAAACACAACTGACCACAACTGCTCCCACTGCTCAACAACTTAATGTAACTCTCAATGGTGATATAACTTCGAGAAAATACTCAACTGTGGACAATCTGACCTCTGTTGTTGACAACATAACTAAACCTACAGCAGATCCACTTAACAACCAGACTAAAAATCCCACCACATCTAGAGTTAGACCCTACACCACATCAACCAACAAAAATGATACCTTCACCACAGTGGCCAATGCTGTCAATACCATCATCAATCACAATCAAACTGCAGTAACAAGATTCAACCACAGTACCACAGTACGCAGTCCAACCAATGACTTTAACCTGACCACTAAAGAAGAAGTTCATTTGAAAACTACAAAGTCAACCACACCAACTAAGCATGGTACACATCCGTCCTGGAAAAACACTACTACTGCAAAGGTTTCCTTGACTTCCTCTATAACAACTTTCCAGATCAACACCCTCCCCATAAAAACCACAACGTTACCTGGTATGTATAGGTTAGACAACATAATTTTGCTGTAAAAGCTTGCTGTTTAGAAAGCTGTTTAAAGTTCAAATGACTTGTTGAGGAAGTCATCGATGAGGCAATCGTTTTAGTAGCATTACAACAATACATTTATTAATGGTGTAGTTCCTTAATCTGCCTGGATAGAATGATTTTCTGTGTAGCAGATAGGGAGGAATCCTCGATCAAACCCCAAAGTAGAAAACTGATATATTCTATCAATACAATGGCCACTTTATAACTTGATGTACTGTGTGTGTTATGTCCATATCCATTGCAGAGACAACTACAAGTCAAGAGGCACAGGAGGAACTAGCAAACGAGCTGCTGAATCAAGCACAAAATGCCTCTCAGCTGAACTCTTCTCAGGTGAAGCTACAGTTCATTACAGTATGCAAGAAGAACATTTTTTTGCAAGAAAATGTGGAATCCTTAAGAGTTAACTTTATAATTTGATTGGGGATGCAGGTTGCACAGTTGGTTGGGAACTTGGAAGAAGCTTCTGGATGGCTCCTCTGTCTCTAAGGCAGTGGGACAAAAGGTCATCAACGTGTCAGCAACCTGATGGAGGGCAACTCAGTGGCCCTCTCTGCATCTGCGAACAGGTACTTATTTCACAACCATTAGCCATATGTATTCATATTCATTCGATTTTTTTCAAATAATTGTTTGTGTTTGTTTCTGTATACAGACTGGTTCAAGTGGTAGAAGATGTAGGTCTTAAGTTGATTGTCCCTGGTGACAGAGAGATCCTTTCCCTCTGGTTCAGTGGTTCTAGCAGTGAGGAGTATCGATGGGACCAACTTTCCACAAACATCTTTTAACATTTTCAACACTGATAATGTCCAGGTAGACAATATTTTAAATTGTTGTCATCTGTATTCATCGTATTTCATAAGGCGCAAAGAATCCTATGCAGAATTACCTAAAAACTGCTCTCTTTCTAGTGGCCAGCACAGGTTGCAGAAATCCAATTGTATAGAATTCTCTACAAAAATGAATCCACTTCTTCTAAAACCAAAAGGCAACAGGGCAGCAAACATTCCTTTGACAACATAATTATTATGCTATGATCTAAATTAATTTGGAATTTAATTGTTAGACAAAATAAAAATAAGACAACATTTATGTAAAATTAATATTCATCATATGATCATTCTTTCTTCTTCTTTTTATTTGTATTGACATTTTTGTTAATTAAACCCCCACAAATGTAGGCAAACACTTTTCTATCTTTGCTACACACATTTCTCAGACGAACGACAACTCCTGAACAATTGACATTTACTCTGTTGACAAAAGCGATTTAAGTTTTTTCCAGTCAGAGAGAAAACTTGTACAAAATGACAGGAGCAAATGTCTCTAGATGCAAACATAGTGACAGAACAAAGTGATTTTTAAAACTTAAAACTGGAAGTGCCAAACTTTTATGTTAACAATGTATTAACAATTTGTGCAACCAGCTCCGTGCACTCAGCAGATCCAGGTCCAAAAGGTCAGGTTCTGCTCTTGGGTCTGTTTCTTTGCCCTCCTCCCTCACTGCGGGTCTCAGTCCTGAAGACCAGCAGCTGGCAAACAGGGTCCAGTTCACCTTTTACACCAAACCTGCCCTATTCCAGGTACTTATTCATCTCTTACAGAGTTTTTCTCAAAAATATTGAAGTATTTTCTAATGTTCATTTTATGATCTACAAGCAGATTTTCTCTATTAGACAAATGTTTATTTTTTAGATAACACCATGCATGTTTTTGACAGTCATTTATCATATAACCTTCCTGTAAAAAGATTCTGGCTGTCTATCTTTTGTGTAGGATGATGCATTAAACAACCAAACCCTTGTCAGTCCAGTCCTGGCTGCCAGTGTGACTAATCTGTCAATCAGCAATTTGGCTGAGAACATTCAGTTTACTATCCGAAATGTCAACCCGATAGATGTGAGTGTGCACACAAATAATAGTAGTTATTTCATCCAAAAAAGTGTCCTGCATTAATCCAAATCTACAAGTAATTGCATTTTGATGTTCAGATAAACAAAAGTCTTTGAGTCAACTTAAATAATATAAACGTTTTTTTTTAGAAATGATCTACAAATAAAACGTGTGTTTGTACTTTTAATTTGATTTGCAGGGAAACTACTCAGCCTCCTGTACATTTTGGGACTTCACTCAGAATGGTGAGTGCAATGCATGCTAATTGAGTTTGTTACATTTCTAAAGGTATTGAAATCCCTGTTTGTTGTTTCTCGTGTTCAGGCGGAGGAGGCTGGAGCTCTGCTGGCTGCTTTGTTGTCAATAATACTCCGGAAGAAACAACCTGCAGCTGCAACCATCTCACTAGTTTTGCAATTCTGCTGGTGTGTATTTTTGCCTTTTTTTATTATGCTGGTTTATATTTGTTTGGTAGGTATGATCTAACTCTGTCTTGTATCAAATGGTTAAAGAGAGAAATTATTATGGTTACAGGCTGCTGTTGGGCTAAGTGTATTCACTGTTTATTTATTTTGTGTACCCAAGGATTTGTCCAGAGAAGGAATTATTGATCGTCAACAGGCACAAATTCTTACATTCATCACCTACATCGGCTGTGGAATCTCTGCCATTTTCCTTGCACTCACTTTACTGACTTATCTTTTATTTGAGTAAGAATCTGTTTTTACCAAGTCTACTTTAATCCAAGATTTAATTATTTGGTTATAAAGCAAAAATAAAAAAGGATAAAGCCAATTTATTTGCCTGCAAGTATCCTAAAAATAATTTTCTACGCAGAAAACTGATGCGGGATATTCCTGCCAAGATCCTGGTTCAACTCTGCCTCTCCCTCCTCTTCCTCAACCTTGTCTTCTTGCTGGACGGCTGGCTGGCACTGTACCCAGCGGTTGGGCTGTGCATTAGCACTGCCTTCTTCCTGCACTACTTCCTGCTTACATCATTTACCTGGGCGGGGCTTGAGGCCCTGCACATGTACCTGAGCATCGTCCGAGTTTTCACTCCTTACCTCAGCAGATACATGCTCAAGTTCTCACTGATAGGCTGGGGTGGGTAAAATGAACCTCCAAATTGTCAACATGTTTACAAATATGCAATACAGTATATTTATTTGAATGTTTTCAAAAAATATGTGATATAACAATTCTAGTATCTATCATTTTTTCCCATAATTTGTTGGGATATACTGAAATTGTTCTACTGATTTAAAATCTGGTCTTTGCAGGCATCCCTCTTCTTGTGGTGATTGTTGTAATATCAGTGGACAAAGACAACTATGGTGTGGTCACATATGGAAAATACACAGATGGCACTTCAGACGACTTGTAAGTTATGCTTAAATCTCTCAGTTTTTTTGAACACATTTTCAAAAAGATTTATTTTCTTTTGTTGATTGTTTTTTCAATAAACCATAAATTGAGCCAGCAGTCCAAGACTGTTTCTGTGTTCTAGCTGAATGTGTTTTAATTTTAAACACATGTGCAAATATATTACAAATGTATAATGGTATTGCTTTATTTTGATGAAAGTAATTTTTATTTATAAATAGAAAACATAAATTAAGGAACATTATTTAAATGAAAAAAATAATCCATTGTCGCTGTTGTGATGTGTTTACTGTACTCTAATTTTATCATTAGGCTAAAACATTTAAATTAAATGTCTTCAAGCTTCAAGTATTCAGGTTTAAAATATCTACTATGAAAAAGCTTAATTAGGCTCCTTCTCTGAGCAGGTTCCTTTCTCCAAATTCAGAAGTCAGACTTTTCAACCCAAGCAGAAAATAAGATAATCTAACAACTGTTTTTCTCTGTCACGATAATCTGCCATTTACAAATATATCTATCTTGTGCAATCACTGTATAATGTGTAATTATATGTATGCACAGTACAGTTCTACAAACAAGCAATTAGTAAAATGTAGTCTTGAGTTCTTGAGCATCTGTAACATTTACACTGAGGGATCCAAAGTTTGATTTGATTTTAAGCGACCCCCCTGCAATATAGTATCACAATAAACACCATAGCACCCATTAATGCCTAATGCTACCACCTTGTTTATTCATCAAAACATTTGCATTATTTGTTTCGTTGTGGCATTCTTGTAACACCATAATAGGCATATGACATAGAACCCTACCTGGCACATAATGACAATTTTCTTTTAAAATGATAGCCTTTTTGTAGTTAACTATAGACTTAACTTTTCCTTGTTTTTAATGTTTTACCCTGTAGCTGTTGGCTGCGTAATGACATCGCCTTCTATGTGGGAGTGGTAGCCTACTTCCTCCTGATCTTTGCTCTGTGCCTGCTGGTCTTCATTATTGTTATGGTCCAGCTGTCCCGGATCAAGAAGCAGAACCCCCAGAACCAGCCTCCCAACAGGGGGGTGATGACAGATCTGCGCAGCATTGCTGGTCTAATCGTGCTGCTCGGCCTCACCTGGGGGTTTGCTCTGTTTGCCTGGGGACCCCTTTACTTACCCTTTGTTTACCTTTTCACCATATTCAACTCTCTGCAAGGTGAGACTTGTATTTATGTGCTTTTTATGATCAATTCATATAAGTTTATGATTTGCAAATGTATCCCATTTTTTTCTATATCATTTGTTCTGTACAGGATTTCTTGTCTTTATTTTCCACTGTGCTGTGAAGGAGAATGTCCGTAGGCAGTGGAGAACATATCTTTGCTGTGGGAAACTGCGTTTGGCTGAGAATTCAGGTAAGCAGTAAATGTGTTTTTATACTATAGTATCATTTGACTGAACATGAGGTGAAAGCCCCAGGTGCCTAGTGATGGCCTAAATGTATGTCAGAAATCATACTCACACATCTAAACACACAGACATACTACACATACTTTTAGATTCAGACTTTCAGGACATCATTATATGAGCAGTTCTTTGTAAAACTATAATAATAATAATAATAATAATAACATTTAATTATGAACCAGTAAAAAGGCACTACTTTTTCTATCTTCTTCTTCTATTTAGCAAATACAAGTCAGCTACAAGAAAATACTTAGTCATACAAGTAAAATAAATGTTTTTAAGTTGATAACACTTACATTATTTGATTCTGACACTGGCCAATAAAAAAGAAAATACATTTTAAAAGCATTTTAAAACTTATATAAGCTTGGTCATATTTACTTTTTGCCAGATTGGAGTCGGACAGCCACCCAGAACAGGATGAATCTTTCGGTTGCCACAGCAACCACCTCAGCTCCCCACTTAACCTCTCGAAGCTCTTCCACCATCAGTGATAGCACCAATAGCAATGGTAAGTTCACAGGTCGCAATGGCAGACCTGATTTTTTATAATCTTTAATACTATATGCCAGCATATTATTAAAATATACTATGTGTTGCTTTCCCACAGGGTCTGTGTTTGCGGACAGCGGAATATCTGACAGCTCCAACAGCGACGCCATCCTTAACGAGATTCACAGACTAAATATTTCATTGTAAGGAGAGACCTGACAAATGTGTCAAGCATCCATTTGTGATTCAAATATTTATTTTCTTTGAGAGAACCATGGTGGTGATGGTGACAGTGATAATTCTCCTGCAGCATGAGTAAACAAAAAGAAAACTAATCACAGGAGTGGTTGCTCACAGAAATCCTCAGTGTTACCCAATATTCCGGTTTTACAGGTGTCATGAAGGACAGAAGAAGTGAGACTGAAGAACTTTTGCGAGGAGTATGATTATTGCTTGAATGCAACAAGTTGACTTGATGCCTTTTCTACATCAAGAGTAGAATATATGAAGTGTACAGTAGCTATGCTTCTGACTGAATAAAATCATTATTTCACTGTAACAGCCAACTTAGTCTGCACACTGTAGCTTGTTCTAAACTCTTATTACTGTTTGCATAAAGCAGATTATATCAATACCTTTTACCATCTTTGTAATATTTACATTTAAACACACATGAATCATAGGCTGAAATGGAATAGGAAATTCAAAATTGTCTAATCACCCAAAGATGTCATTTATATGTACAAGAGACTGTTCTTTTTTCATACAAATTATATTTTTTGGTTTTTGCTAACCAGTTTGCAACAACAGCCGGCAAAATAGGGCCCAATGGATGTGCATGTGTTAAGGGAAGGACATAAACCATAGATTAAGAGATAACAAAATATAATATAAGTATATATTATATGTAACAATAATATTGACTGTTATCAATATTTGGATAATATCAAACTTTGACCTTCTAAATACATTGTTTCTTTATATTTCACATGATCTTTGAATTACACAGTAGATCCTGTATTGCCATAAGCTAACAGGTTTCTTCGCATAATATTTTCACATGATTTAAATGAAAATGTTCAGTGATTAGATTTGATATATGAAATATTAATCATAAATGTATGATCAATTATATACGGTATATAAATACACTAGTGTCTTTTGTATTTGAATATGCTTTATAGCCTTTTGTTGTTGCATTATAATCACTGATGTGAAGATGACATATATCCTTCTATCTATTATTCCAGTTATTTTTTATTTACCTCCATAGAATTCATAAACAGACTGATATTCTTCACATCATCCTATGTCTCTGTAAAGAAACAGCAGGAATTAATCAGTCCCGCCCCCACTTTGCTCCCCTGGCCTGATTTGGCGTTACAGCTGGAGCGATTGCCCATTGGTCTCCATTTATATTTTTCACAGAGACATCAGGAGTTTAACAGCCGAATCTTTGATCAATTTACCGAGCTTCTGTACACTCCAACACTAAATAAACAATATGCAGTGCCTCATTTCCATCTGTAGACTACACAGTTTAAGCTGGAGCTAGACAGATCAGTCTGATGTACTGAAAGTGGACTGGGTTATAGAGGGGACTTGTATATAAAACATAATCAAAACTTGAATAATCATCAGGCCCAGCATGCTCAGTCCCTTGTCAGTACCGCAGGTACATCTTCTCTTCGTTATATTAAAAACTTGATTGAAATCTCAAACATCTTCCACCAGATGTCAGTGTTAACCAACGCTTTTGTTAATTCCATCACAGCAACTATTTTTCAGAAAACTGATCAGGGAACCTTTTTAACAGGAAAAACGTGTAGCTTATGATCGTATTTCTTCTTATTTAACAGGTCACTGCTGCCTCAAAACAATCACCAACATTTTTAAATACCTTGATCCTATCAGATTCACAGTTTTTGAGATGCAGATTAAATGTGCATAATGTATGTCTGGCTCACTTAACTAACTTTCTTGCAGATTTTACAACCTCCACGAACACCATTTTATTTAGATTTTATGGGCAGGTGGCCCATGATTTTACAACCTCACTATAATGACGAAAGTGTTGGGAGGGTGAAGGGCGGAAGAATTAAACATATATTTTGGGATTCAAGATCACAGACAACCTTCTTGTGTGCTGCTGAAATATATTGATCATTAGCACTTCAGCAGCTGTTTGCTGTTCATATATCTTCTCTATCTTCCCCACTCTGATTTCCCAACTGGTCTGAAGTTTCGAACCTCACAAAGCGTTTAAGGTGAATATAGTAAGAGCAACATTGCAATCTGAGGATATGGAAAGACATTCTTGCATGAACTTTACCTAAAATTATGCGAGTAGATCGTCAACATCAGATTGTTTAAAGTGTGCTGTTTGTTCTGTTTCAGCACTTTACTTTTAGTGAACTCACATTACTAATTCTGAGATATTGCCAGCTGTAGGCCTGAGATTGTAAAATATCTCACTGTTCATAGCTATAAACACACTGAGACATGAATATATTGGATCTATTTATTTCCCCAAATAATCTTAAACATTAAATGGTATTCTTTCTCATAAAAAACATTTTGATGGAGGGCTTTGTGTTAATATGTATAGCTAACTTAGTCAATATATGATATATTACTATACTTCTTTGTTATTGAAAACTCACCAGACGTGGTTTTAGTAAGTAGTGGTAGTAGTTAATGATAAGTGGCCCTATCGGGGTGTTAAATAAGGATCAAAAGTGTTTCTTTATTACTCCCTTTGCATACCTTAGGGCCACAGAGAAGTAAAACACAAGGAATCTAAGCTCAGGCAAAGCAGCTTTTATTCCTGTCCCTCCTCTGTGCCCATAAATACTTTTTTATAGATGTAAATGTTCTAAAAATATCAATGCCTGCCTGCACAGTTATTTCTTTGTGAAGTAATCAGTGCATTTCCATACCGACCACTTTTGAAGCTGTAAACTGTAATGCAGCCTACATGAATAGCGGCATTTTATTTGAAACCAAAAATAATTGCTTATCATGAGCACTCCTTGGCTCAGCAGAAATACAAATGTCCTCTGGGAAACATCGGATCAATGAGGCAAACCTTTCATCAGATTTTGATTGAAAGGAGTCACTGAATCAGCAAGATTTTTATTGTTCGGCAAATTGGGAATTTGAGGTCATTTTTATGTGAGATTGTTGTCCTCCAGCTATTAAAGGCCTTTTACGTTTGTATAGATATTTAATGTGTGTTCACATTAGTTGGGCTATGTTGAAGGTTTGTTTAGTTGCACAGCTCTGTTATAAGAAAACAAGAGCTTGTCAACTGTGGCACATGAACTAGCTATTTTATTGAGTAGAGTAGTTCAAACCGGAGAGACGTGATGTAAGAATTACATATTTATTGTTTACACGTCATATGAATGAAATGATTGCCATGATAGTACAACAGGAGAATGTAATGGTGTTTGGCGATTAGGCCCCCGGTTTGCAGGATAATCATTCAGGAGGGAAAGCACCGCTCCGATGAAATCCCCGGGGTCTAGACACTGGTGGTGGTGATGAGTAGGTGAGACCAGTCTGAAGGAGGAAGGTTTAGCTTTGTCCTGAAGGAGGCGAGAGGGGTGGAGGCGGGTTGCGTGTGATCATCTGCAATGACAACTGACAGGGAGGAAGAGCAGGTATTTAAGGCATTTGGCATGTGCAGCGATTGGCTGCTGAGGCGTGACGCCCTCATATTTAATGAGGGGGGAAGGGAGCCATAGAGTGACGTGTGAGTGACTCGAGTTAGGTCTTCCTTATTGAACTTGCGCTAAAGCTTTCATTTCAAACCGGAGAGACGTGATGTAAGAATTACATATTTATTGTTTACACGTCATATGAATGAAATGATTGCCATGATAGTACAACAGGAGAATGTAATGGTGTTTGGCGATTAGGCCCCCGGTTTGCAGGATAATCATTCAGGAGGGAAAGCACCGCTCCGATGAAATCCCCAAAACCAGTGAAGTATGAATACTGAGATGAACTGAGTTGCTTACCTTGTGGGGTGACTGGTGATCTGGGGAGGAGAGATAATAGATTAACACGTATATGAGCGACACTGTGCCGGAATCACTGCCGGAGCTTACTGGTCATGCTGAGACTCTGACTGCCGAAATCAGTGCCGGTCTTATCTGAAAACGACCTGCGGGTCGCATGCCTGGCCAGCAGGGCTTGACTACGCCGAGGAGCGAGCGGTTTCGTTTTGTAACGGTGGCCCAACGTCCACGACACCGAAGTGTACGGTAGCCTTCCGCTACGACACTGAAGTGTACGGTGGCCTTCCGCCACGCCTGACTTCGCAGGCTATTATATATATATATATATATATATATATATATTATTTTTTTTTTTTCTTTATTTCTTTTTCCTTTGTTTTGTAACTGACACCGAAGTGTACGGTGGCCTTCCGCCACGCCTGACTTCGCAGGCTATTATATATATATATATATATATATATATATATATATATATTATTTATTTTTTTTCTTTATTTCTTTTTCCTTTGTAACTGACACCGAAGTGTACGGTAGCCTTCCGCTACGACACCGAAGTGTACGGTGGCCTTCCGCCACGCCTGACTTCGCAGGCTATATATATATTTTTTTTTTTCTTTATTTCTTTTTCCTTTGTTTTGTAACTGACACCGAAGTGTACGGTGGCCTTCCGCCACGCCTGACTTCGCAGGCTATATATATATATATATATATATATATATATATATATTTTTTTTTTTCTTTACTCTTCATTTCTTTTCCTTTGTTTTGTAACTGGCACCGAAGTGTACGGTGGCCTTCCGCCACGCCTGACTTCGCAGGCTATATATATATATATATATATATATATATATCTTTACTCTTCATTTATTTTCCTTTGTTTTGTAACTGACACCGGAGTGTACGGTGGCCCGAGTCCACGCGGACTGCAGGAAATACATTTTACACTGATGTGTTTGAGCAAGGCCTGGGAATGAAATACCTGTGTGCCGGAGATGAAGCCCGTTACCTGTAGTTGCGGCGTGAGACGAGACATTATTCCCTGTGGGCGGGGCCCGCGGAATTAGGACAGGAATGCAGTTTTGAATATCGGGAACCTTAGTGAGACATGTATACTTGTGAATGTGTTTGAGCCACCACCAGTTATATGTATAACTACCATAGTTAGGGTCTGAGAGATCTTTGGGAAGCCCGTACGGCGCTGATGTCCATACGAATGAAGGTTGTGAAGGCGGAGGAGGACCACCGTCCTAGTTGTTGTAGGGATGAGGTAGAGAGACCTTGATTAGCAGCAGAGGTGGCTGCACCTATCCTGAAGGAATGCCCGGGTATGATATGGGTGATAGGCTGGATTTAGTGAGAACTTGCTTGGGTAGAAATTGACGGGGCCATGACCCTGCGAACCACTCTCCCTGGAAGAAACCCCCCAAAACCCATGGATGGGTGGCATCCGTGAAGACCTCATTGAGTCAGAGGAACGCACGAGGCCATCGTAAAATAAAGTAATTCCGTTCCAGTGGGCGAGCAGGAGGGACCAGAAC